AAGGCAATAAGCCCAAAAAAATATTTTAAAAAAACAGAAAAGCTTTCATGTCATTTGTTTTGTTGCTGATTCATTGTTGTTGATGCTAATGATCCAGGCGGCTCATTTCTTTCTCTTTTTATTCCATCAGACTAAAACCAAAAACTACTTCCTGTAAAAACGTTTCCTTTTTGTTTTGGAAGCAGCAGGAAGCTGATTGGTGTGATGTCAGGATGATCAGAGACCCAGCACACACGATAACAGCAAACAGGAGGTTCAAATAAGCCGCAATGATCCTTTAAGACCTTTTAAGACTTTTTAGGATCCTCAGACTGATCCAGGGTTTGTGCTAAGCTACCTCAGCTACACATGTGGAGGAGCTCCTGATCTTTACTCTGATGAAGTAAACATGAAGAATGCTGCAGCCTGAAACCATGTCTCATGTTATTCAGAGCGCTGGAGCTGCTGTCCATCAGCAGACTCCACTGCTGGTGTTATTCTGACTCCGTCCTGCTGCACAGCCTAACACGTGAACATCAGCGTGAATCCTGAGCAGGACGTCGTCCGGCTGCAGCTACCTGCTCGGCCAGCCAGCCGATGTGCTTGAGGTGGGGGTGGGTGGAGGCCGAGGACGAGGCCCCCAGGTAGGCGTTGATGTGGGCCAGGGTCTGGGGCAGCAGGGCGGCGATGTTGGTGTGGACGGCGGTGAACCAGGAGTTGGCCGACGGCCCGTCCTTGCAGCGGAGCACCACCGTGTGCTGGCCGTCCGGAGAGTGGAGCTCCAGCAGCCTGCAGGGGGCGACACCAGGAGGTTACACCGAGTCTACTGCAAGGTTCCTGAGAGGAAACGTTAACGCCTCAGAGCATCTCCGTCAAACACACAGGGTCTACAACACAAATGTGTTGCATCGTCCAATATGAGAGGTTTTAATGAGGACGACACAAACGGCCTCTGAGATATGGAGCCTCAGAAATGGAAGCATCACAAGTTTACTCACGATTCCTAACGAACGCTCGCTCATCACACGACTCATGTAAAGGAGAACGTTCACACTGGTCATGGAACCAAATCCAAACCTGTTTTCTGTTGTGCTGGACACACTTTTGAAAAGTAGATTCTAATTGTTTTAATTTAATTGTTTTTTTGCTTAATGCACTTTAACTGGCAGCTGAGACACAAACATTCAGTGTAAATATTCACATAAGAGGAATGTAAAGTTCTGTTTTCCTTTTTCCTGCTTGTTTTTGGTCTATATTCTTTTATAATCATTTATTTTGTGCGCTATACTGTGATAAATCAGTCTCCCTTCTGGATCATTAAAGTTTATCTACATCTAACGAATACCGACGTGTACGTCTGCATGTCTTCTGTTGCTCCAGACAGCAGCACAGCGAGCATCTGTCCGACCCTCTGCTTTGGCTTTTTTGTTCATCTTGCTTCACTTCTGTCCTCTGAGCTGCTCTAATGTGTGAATCTTCTCTGTGATGGATCCATAACGAGGCTCACAGCAGCCACTCCTTGTGTTTGCTCTCAGACTGACGGTGTTTTCAGGTTTCCAGACCTCAGCGACCTGCTGACGGGACCAGAGTGAGTTCAGCTTCACAGCTACGACAGAACTGAAGTAAAAACAGCTCAGAGGTGAAAGAGGAAAATACTCATCATAATAAATCATGTTTTAGAACTTCAGCCTTTTCAGTGTTTGCACTTATTTTATTGTTTTTATTCCGTTTTACTTCATTAACATTTGACTGTAATCAGAGTATTTGTCCTCTGGTGCTCGTTTCATCTTTAACATCTGAGCTGGTGTCTCTGACATACGTCGTTAACCGAATCACTGGTGAAGCATTCGGAGCTGCACTCGCTCTGCTTGAAATCTGTTTTAAATCTATGTTTACATATAGAACGTGAATAGAACGTTTAAAACAACCTGAGAAAGTTGTGCCGTGATGTCAGACAGGCAGCAGCTTAATGATGAAAACAGTGAATCACATTTAAACTCAGCAGACGTCCGACTGCTGTTCAGATTCTCTGTTCTATTGAAGCAGGTGGATTAACTGCTGTTCTTTACTGCACATGATCAGCTCCAGATATCAGCTACTGGTCTGTCTGATCCGTCATGACCGCCATCAGTCTGATCCGGAAACAGAACGAAGCTGTAAACCAAAGTCCTCGACGACTCGCCTGAACCTGGAGGAACGATCTGAAGAACCCTGACCGACTCTCACGTTAAAACAATGAGCAGATCTACTCCGTGTTCCTCCTGATCTCCGTCCTCTAACCTCTGACCCAAACCCTCTCCAGGTCTTTCCTGGTCAGTCCCGGAGGAGGAGCGCTGAGCGTACAGTGGAGCTGCTGCTGGATCCAGGTTCATCTTCTGATTCCACTTGAACAAACACAGAAGAGCTTCTGTACGGACACGACTCCAACTCTCACTGAGCAAACATTCCGATCTAATGAGCAGGAGGCAGGAGTAATTACACATCAGCCACACCTGAACTCCCACGTGCTCAGGTATTCCACACACACACACACACACACACCTGTTCTCCAGGTCCGGCATGGTGAGGTTCCTGCTGATGAAGCACATCTTCAGGCTGATCACCTTCCGGTCTTTGGACGACGGCGCCGAGCTGCTGCTGTGTTTGGGGGAGCCCGAGTCCTCGCTGCCGCTGTAGCTGGGAGACTGAGGCCGGACGGCGTCCCACGGCAGGTCGGCCACCAGCGACGGCTTCTTGAAGAGCGGAGAGACCTCACGGATGTACTTCACTGTGGAGAGACGACACCATCAGCTGATGGACACACGTCTGGACAGATGTGGAGCGTTACAGCTACAATCACACACAAGGTCTCATTTATAAAGAACGTTTTATTTTGAAAAGCCAGCACGTTTCATGAACCCTGATCAGCACCGTTAACATCTTTGAGCTTTTACTTTGAAAGGGCATCAATCAGCCAATCAGCAGCTGAGCATCAGAGCCTCAGAAATCCTCCCAGGTGTGAAGCAGCACCTGGTCCTGAACGTTCTGAAGTGGGTTCAGGTCCGTTCTGGGTTTTATGCAGATTGGGCAGCAGGTCAGAGGCCTGGTTCTGGTCTAGACCCGACTCAGAGGGTTCTGGTCGACTCTCTGAGCTGGTTTATGGGTGAATATAAACGCTGCAGGTGGACGAGGACAGAACCACACACTTGTATGTTGGATCAGCTCATCAGAGGAGAAGAGACGGAGACCTGCTCACTGGGCTTCAGTCCAGAACCCGGCTGATGAAACAGGAACTTTATCAGACTTAAAGCGTGACTCCATAAAAACCACAAAAGATATTAAAACACAGATTTAGACGAATATCATTTAAAGTCTTCTGACTGTTGAACCTGTGAATGAAGGTTCTGCTGGAAAACCTTCCACAGGGTCCACACATGGTTCTGGTTCTGGCAGCTGTCCCGTTCACTTCCTGTTCATTTCAATGGAGACTTTTAACACAGTTTTCGTTGATTTCGTAAAAAACCGTAAAACTAATCAGAAGCTAAAGTGGCAGAACGCCGTCCTGATCCAGCTGCACGCTGAGACGGTTCATTCACAGGGTTTGTCTTCAAGCTGTCCAACATCATCTGAATAAATGAGCTGCAGAGATCACTCGTCAGCAGATGGCGCTCTTCAAGACGCTTTGCAAAGAAGACAAGAACGCAAACAACAACCACAAAGGAGAGCAAACAGGAGGAGGATCACGGAGACGGTCACAGTGGACCAACAACACTCCTGTTGAGGTTCTTCCATCTCAGAAAAGACAAAACATTTATCAAGATAGCTGCTCATCTTCATAGCATAAAGATAATATTCATAAAGATGTTTTTAAATTTAAATTTCAGCTTCATGAACCAGCTGACTCTCCTTCAGCAGCTTTATTCTCATGTTTGCATTTAAACGACAAAATCTCAGAAACTAAAAACAAAAACCTGAAGGTAAAAATGTCCTTTGAGCTAAAACGCTGATGATGAGAAGTGAACTGGTGAGATAGATGGACAACACTGTTAGACAGACGGATCCAAACGGTTCTCATATATAACTAAGATATTTCTTTTCTTTTTTAAATGGGCATATTGTATATTTTCTGGCTCCGCTTTGCTGGTGAACTATCAGGGTGTAATGATTAATTATAGTTAATTGAAGTGATGCTGTGAATGTTTCATGTTTATTTTACATCATCTGGTGGCAGATCTTCACATTTATTCGTTTGTTTCTGTCCTCTGTCGCCGTTCTATCGTCGGTCTTCATGTATTTTGGTTTTGGACTGCTGCTTCAACACTTTTCATAGACAGTGTTTGAGACCAAATGTTATATTAGAAATAAAAGTGATCATAAGTCGCAGCTCCAAAGCGGAACAAGCCAAATCCTGAGCCATAAAGTTTTATTGGACTTTATTTAAATGACTTGTGGCTCTGAACGCTGCATGTTGCCGGACAGACGACGTCAGATCTCTGCAGATATCAGAGATCTTATCTTCCTCTAATAAAACAAACAGAGCTGTGCTGCAGCGTGAAGCCGAGCAGCTGCTGAAGATCTGCTGATGGTCTGAGCATGTGTGGGAGTCCAGCCAGCAGCAGGCTGGAAACCAAACCGCAGAGCAACACTATGGGATGTTTTCAGAGAGAAGTCAGCATTCAATCTGCTTTAAAAACACTTTGGGGCCCAGTTACGGTCCAAACTTCTCCAAACTGCGACTCGACTCTCTCAGCGTGAGACTCTGTCCGGGCCCAAGCTTGAACTAATTAGCCGACGGATGGCTTTCTGGCCCAGAACCGGAGCTGGAGCTGCTCCTGCTGCGTGTTGGAGGAGCTCAGAGTGGCCTCCTGAGTGAAATGATCTGAACAACACGCCGTGCAGCTGTGAGCTTCGGCTGTTTGTGCAAAGAAAAGGCCTCCGAAGCGACGGACTCCAAATTTGGTGCTTCGGCTTCGTCCGCCTCCTCGCTGTTTTCGTCACGTGCACGCGGCGGGAGCGTGCACGGCCGGCGTGTGGACATGAGAAACGAGTGCGTCGGTGTGTGTTGGCCGGTGAGTGGGTCTGTGAAACCTGAGACGAGGCTCTGAGGACGGTGAGCTCATTCTTGAATCCAGACGCAGATATTGTGCTGGTGAAGGTATGCAGGCGCAGAGCTCAGGACCGGGAGGCTCCGTGTGGAGGAGCTGAACGGAAAAACATGCAGCA